CCCCCCCCCAACATCGCAGGTAGGACCCTCCATTGGCAAATCCCATGGGAAAGCTGCTTTCCCTCTCTACTGCCTCGGAAACATCCCTCCCCCCGGGTGGCTTTGGAGCGGTGGGTGGCCATGTGCCTGGGGAAGTGGTGGAAACCAGGGATGGCTGTCAGGGAAAGGAGCCAGATGGGGCGGCCGGGGTGGCGTGTGTGCGTGCGGGAGTGCATGCACGCACTGCTGGGTGTGCGCTTGCGTGAGTGTGTGTGTGTGTGTGTGTGTGTGAGCCCTTCTGCCGCGCAGCTGCCGGGAAATCCTGACCTGGATACGGGATCCGGCCGTAGGTGACGATCTCTGTCAGCAGGATGCCGAAAGACCAGACATCGGACTTGATGGTGAACGTTCCGTAATTAATTGCCTCCGGCGCCGTCCACTTAATGGGGAATTTAGCCCCTGAAAAAAACAGCGGGAGGGGAGAAAATAAAACTGAAAATAAGGCTGAGCTGGAAATGTCCCTCTCTGTTTAACCTGATGTGACAACCCCGAGTCAGACTCTGTCCCTGCTGTATCCCTGGGGACCAGCTGGGTTTGGTGACAACCCTCCTCTGCCCCCCCTGCCTGGCTGGGTACAGAGCCCCCAGCGCCGCCTGGCACCCCTGCAGCGGGCCAGCAGGTCTGTTCCTGCAGTAGCCACCAGATAGGGCTGTCACCCCACCAAAAGCAGGGTCGGGTGGGTATGTGAGATCCCGCAGCCCCCCCTCCAGCTGTGGCTGGAGGGAGAAGTGGTCGGGGGAGGACCCCCTGCCTGCTCCCCTCTCCAGGAGCTGCTCCCAGGGCACCGTGGGGACCCCAGAAGAGGCCGGGGTGAGTGGGGGGTTCCTCCTCCCACAGCCCCAGTGAGCACCCCAAGAGTGGTGGGGCTGAGGCGGGGGGGTGGGGAGGACACGCACCCTCACGAGCCGTGTACTCGTTGTCCTCGATGAGCCGGGCCAGCCCGAAATCGGCAATTTTGCAGCACAGGGTGTCCGACACCAGGATGTTGGCCGCCCGCAGGTCGCGGTGGATGTAGTTCTTGGCCTCGATGAAGGCCATGCCTTCGGCGATCTGTGGGCCGGATTAATTGCAATTAAAAGCCGTGGGGGCAGCCCCAGCTCCAGCCCTGGCAGAACCCTCCCCGCCAGCAGCCCCGCGGCTCCGTCCCCCCTCACCTGCGCGGACATGTCCAGCAGTTTGTGGATGCTGAGCTTGAGTCCTTCCGAGGTCTTGAGGAAGTCCACGAGGCTGCCTGCGGGGAGGGAACAGGTCCCAGTGCTGCCTCCCTGCCCCACGGTGCCTCTGGGGGCTGGGTCTTGCACCCGTGGGTTCACCGTGGCATCGTCCCCCGAGTGAAACACCGACGGCGGGGCTGGGCAGCTCGCAGCCCCCAGAAAGGCGGGCAGGAGTGGGTGGGTAGGAGACCACCCTGCCTGCAAGGTCCTTTTCCCCCTGCCAGGGCTGACCCCCGAGCTCCCAGCTGCTGGGAGAGCCGTGGAGCAAGGCCAAGGAGGCAAAGGATGCCAAAAGCAGCTCGAGACACCAAAGGGACCAACCAGGAGCTGAAGCACCACGGCTCTGCACAGCCCCCAGCCACCCCCCACCCACGGTGGGAAGCCCCCGGGTGCCCTCACCCTTCTCCATGTACTCGGTGATGATGTAGATGGGCTCCTTGGTCACCACGGCGTAGAGCCGCACCAGCCGCGGGTGCTGCAGGTTCTTCATGAGGTTGGCCTCCGCCAGGAAGGCGCTGGGTGACATGCTGCCCTGCTTCAGGTTTTTGACGGCCACCTTGGTGTGGCCGTTGTAGAAGCCTGCGGAGAGACGGGGCAGAGCGTGACGGGGCAGAGGGATCCCGTCATGGGGGCACGGCCAAGGGACGTGGTGGCAATATCAGTGCTGGCCAAGGAGGCAAGCGTGGGGGCTACTCTGTGGACCTAGAGCATCCCAACCCAAGGCTGCACAAGCAGGAGATGTTGGAGATGGAAAAGTTTGGCTGAAGAGGAGGAGCTGGGCAGCGATGCTGAAGCCAGGTGTCCGGAGGAGACTTTGGGGGATGGCCAGCACTTGTAGGAGCAAAGGCAGAGACCCCGCTGTGGGGCAAGATGGAGAGGAGTGGGGCAGTCCCTTCCCCACCCAGGGAGCAGAAGGTGCTTTTGTGGACGGGTGGCAGCATGTTTGGAGCCCCCACGCTGCCTCCGAGCCCCCAGTTGCTCCCAGCGTGGCAGCAGCAGCCACAGCAAGGGATGTTTTCTGTTTGGGGGCACCCCCGGTGCTGACAGGCCCCGTGCCAAAGAGCCCAGCTCAGTGGGGACACGATGCAGGTGGCACCCTTCACTCACAAATCCCCTGGGAAAGCTGATGCTGCCCACACCAGTGCCCTTATCCGGGAGGAATAAGTTTCACCCTGAAACTGCATCCCTGTTTCACCCTGACTCACCCATCCAGACTTCTCCAAACTGCCCAGCTCCCAGCTTCTCCACCAGCTTCAGCGACTCCCGCGGCACCTCCCACTCGTCCTGCCACCACGGCTTCTGTGGCTTCTGGGTCCGGCAGGGCTTGCCGAGGCGGGTGCACAGCCCGTCGGAGCTGCCTGCGGTGCAGGGGCGGGCAGGGCCAGCGTCAGGGCGGGCAGGGGCTCGGGGCACCCGGCACAAGCTGATGCCTTCACTGGGGCACATGGTCCTACCCATCCCATCCCATCTCCATCCCTAATCCCATCGCCATCCCCATCTTACCCCTTCCTATCCCACCCCATCCCCATCTTCATCCTAATCCCCATCCTATCCCCATTTCATTCTATCCCATCCCATCTCCATCCTCATCCTATCCCCATCTCATCTCCATCCTCATTCCCATTGCCATCCCCATCTTACCCCTTCTTATCCCATCCCCATCTTTTCCCGCCCCATCCCCATTTTATCCCCTCCTATCCCCATCTTTCCCATCCCATCCCATCCCCATCCCATGCCTGCAAGCAGGACCAGCCCCTGGACCACTTGTTGCCCCACCACCCCCAGACCCTGGAGGGCACGCACGTGTGTAATACTCCACCAGCTCGTGCAAGCTGCTGAAGGTGACGCGGGGGGAGATGTAGTACCCCCCGTTGTCCATGTTGCGGATCTTGTAGTGCTTCACTGTCTCACCCTGGTTCTGGTCAAAGTCCCTCACCGACAGCGAGTAGGAGCCTGGGGAGATGGGGGACCGTGTGGGTGTGGGGTCCCAGGGCTCCTCCCAGTGCTGGTGGCAGGAGAAGCCGGTGGGACCCGCGGGAGGTACCTTTGGAGGTCTCGCTCTCCCGGATGAGGAAGGAGCCGTGGGTGTTGCCCGACGCCAGGAGCTGCCGCTCCGCATCCTTGCGGCTGATGTTTTTGAAGAACCACCTGGGGACACGGGGCAGGATTAGGGCTGGATCTCAGGCGACCTTCCCCCACCAGTGCTTCAGGAGATGCTCCTGGCACCTTCCCCTGCCATGTGCACAGCTCCTGCCCGGGCACGGCTCCCACTCAACTCCCCCCACTCACGGCTCGGGCTCCAGGCTGTTCACCATGGCCACGAAGTTGTAGGGGATCAAACCCTCCTGGCCAGTGGTGAGCGACTGTGCCTTCCACCACTCTCCACTCCTGCAAGGACACAGCAAGATGAGACACCCTCCCCGGCCGCCAGGACCCCACACAGACCCCCAGGGGAGCCACGGGGTCACACCAGGATGGGTTCTGGGGTGCCATCGGCGCCCACTCACTCTTCCAGGATGCGAAGCTTCTCCCCCTTCCGCAGCCCCAGGTCCCCATCGTGCTTTGGCTCGTAGTTGTAGAGGGCCACCACCAGCTTATCTGGGAGGACAAGCGGAGGGGCAAGCTGGCAGTGGTCAACTGGGGGGGTGTCCACACTTGTCCCCTGCCGCGGCTGGACCTTACCTTGCAGGGGGGAGCACGGCGGGGACGTGCCCTCGTAGGACACCAGTGGGTCTTGCACCTCGGAGCCATTGCGGATCAGCCTCTGCGAGGGGACAAGGAGCCCTGTGAGCCTTTGTCCTCCTGGGATTTGCCCATCCCAGGGATATCTCGGGAGGCGTTTGGCCACCAGGATGGGGGACGGGGGGTTCTGCTCAACCCCCCCCTCACCTGGCGCTTGCTGTCGGGCTCGATGGGGTAATTGCAGTGCTCACAAATGTCGATGTTCTCGATCCAGTCGTCGTCGTAGTCCGAGCTGCAGCAGCAGCCCATGGTGGCTGCAGGGGGACAAGAGGTGACGGGGGAAGCCTTCGCCCCCCCAGCCCAGCCTTGCCTCTCCCCCCACTCCAGCACATCCCCAGCCCCGTGTCCGTCCATCTGGCTGCCCACATCTCATGGCCCATCCCACCCACTCCCCAGGTCCTCTGCTGAACTGAGGGCATCCCCTGACTCTCGGTCACCAGCCGTATTTCCTCTTAATTTTGTTCTGGCTTCGTTAATTAAAAACACTGAAGGCAATTAGTTCCCAGCCTGAGGCTCCCCTTTCCCAGTGTGTCCTCCTTCGCCAGCTCCGTCCCACCCTACGGCCCTTGGGCTGATCCCTACATTCTCTGTCTAGATAACAATCTAATCATGAGTATCCCATTAGTAATTAATACGTCCTGGCCCTGCAACGTGGGGTTTTTTTTACAAGGTTTGGCTGGACCAGGCACTTCCCCGGCCCTAAAAGTGGCTCCTGGGGTGGGAGGCGGATGCGAGCGTTCCCCCACCCACGCTGCATCGCCTCCGATTTCCTTCTCCCTGGGGCTCTCGTTAGCCTGCCCCCCCCCAGCATTCACCCCATCGCTGTGCCCCTGTTTCTCCTGTGTCAGGGATGGGCTTTAAACCCCCATCCCTGCTCAGGGTCTCCTCATCCTTGGCAGGTCCCCTCCAAAAACATCAATGACCCCCTCAACCTCAAGCATCAGCCCCGGCTAGGGTGACACTGACACAGGGTCCCCGGCAGCACGGTGTGGGCACCGGGGCAACCTGGCAGCGATGCCACCAGCGTGGGATGGGCTCTGGCCAGCTCCCCCCTTCCCACAGAAGCCCGGCGTGGCACAGAGCTGGTAGCCCCAGCAATGCGTCACGAGGAAACGGCGGCCCACGGCCCTGGAAAATACTCTTCCGTAGAATCCCCCAGCGCCCACGCCACCGGGATTTCTCTCCACCAAAACCTGGCCCCCAAACCCTCTTTCCAGGTTCTGCCCAGCAGGTTTTTGGGGGGGGGGCTGGCTCTCTGGGGGCCCCGGTGTGGTTTCCGCAGACGCCGGGTGCCAACGGCAGGGCTGGGAGCCCCGCGCCGCCAGGAGCCAGCCCAGGTGTCTCTGCCCCCAGCACCCAAAAACAGCGGCCGCTTTGCCAAACGCCGAGCAGGAGCTCTTATCTGGCAGCGAGACGGTGCAGCTGCGGGGGGTCCCCATCCCCACCATGCCCTGCAGTGAGCCGGGTCCCCAAGGGGGCTGGCTGTGCCCCGGGAGCCACTGACCCTTTTTTCTCCTTGGTTTCCTACTCGGGAGCCCATCGCAGGGCACTATTTTCACAAGCAAACACAAAAATCCACCTCTCTCCACAACGCTGGGAAGATCATGGCAGTGGGGTCTTCGTTTGAGTGGGTACCCCCATGGGCAGCTGGAAGAGCCTCGCAGGGGGTCCCCGAGGCTGGGGGCTCCCAAGGGCTGCCAGCCCCCAGTGCCACCAGCGCTGGCCACCAGAAGCTGCTGCCAGCCAAAACCCCCCGTTTGCACGGCCAGGGCTGGTTAGACCAGGAACCCCCTCCCTCAGGGATGTCGTGGCATCCACGGCAGCATCATGGTGGCCATCCCCACGGTGCCACCTCAGGGTGCTCATCACCACGGTGGCCGATGGAAGGGGCCGATTGGCAAGTTTGGAGAGGAGAGCGGGGATGACCAAACCCACCCCCCCATGCCACAAAATGCTGCTTTGGGGACTCAAACGCTAAAAACCACCCTGGTGCCTTCAGCTTCTGGTGACACCTATTTGGGAACGCTCTTTGGCACCCAAGAAGGGGCTCCGTCATGGTGCCCCAAGGCAGGCAAGGGGAGCGGGCAATGCCCCAGCGATGCCCACCCCGAGCACAACCCCGACCCCGCAGAGAAGCCCCCACTCCCCCAGGCCTCCCCACAAGCCCTAAAAATGCCTTTACCGAAGGCGAGCGGTGCCAGGAGGTGTTTTTTCCTCCCTGCACAAAGCCAGGGTGGGGAGGGACGTGCTGCTATTGTGCCTTTTTTTTGTTGTTGTTGGTTTTTTGGGGGTTTTTTGTGTTTTTTTTTTTCCCTTATATACTCAAGCCGCAGCATAATTTCCACCCAGCAGCCGTTTCACCTGCGCGGTGTGCGAGGGCCACACCGGTGACACAGGGGCGTTTGAAGTCGGGGTGTTTTTTTGCGACTGCATCTGTGCAACCGAATTTCTCGTACCGAGGCTGCCTGGGAGGGAGGGAGAGAGGGATGTGTAGGCGCCCTGTGCCTCGCCATATCCCCATGGGGGGGGCACATCCTTCCAGAGCCACCTATGAGTCCCCCCAGCCCCGGCTCTGCTCGGGAGCGTGTCTGGACCCTCCTGGTTCTTCCTGGAGGAGCTGCCCTGGGGCTGGTCCTTCCACACATGCTTCTTCGGCCGGGTCCGGTTGGTTTGTTCACTGGCGTGGGCGGGCGTGAGGAGGGCTGAAGGTTGGGCTGACCCTCTCCCTGCTCCTCTTCAAGGCTCACCGGGGCACCCCGGATGTCCCCAAGCCAGCTGTGACCCAGATGGAGAGCCCAGCCCCACGCCGGCAGCACGAAGGACCACAGTCCCCAAGCTGCCATCGCAGGGGAGAGCTGTTGGTGCTGAGACAGCCCCGAAACTGGGTGTATCTCGGTGCCTGAGCCCCCCCAAACTGGGCAGTGGACCCCAATGGACCGGCGCCAAACTGGCCTTGGGGACAAAACTCCTGCTTTGCCCTGGAAATGGGGGCTGGGGGAGAGCCCTGCGAGGTGGCCAGCGCTCCCACCCTGGGCAGGGCCACCAGGCAGGCAGAGGACATCGGGGAAGCACCTTTCCCCCCAGCTGGGAGGCCACAGAGGAATGGGGAGCACATCCCCGCTCCCTCCATCCCTCACCCCGGCACCAGCGCTCACGTCCCCCCCACAGTGACAAGCCTTCAACCCCCATTTCCATCTCTCCAAGGGGCAACTTTGGAGAGGACAACAGGACCCCCCAACCCTCCACAGCATCCAGGTGGTCCCCAGCTCCATCCAGAGGTTGAGAACCCTCTCCCCACCAGGTCCCCATTACCTGTTGGCAGCGAGGTGAGGACCAGCAGCTCTCAGAGTCCCATGGCCCCACGGCAGGAGAAGTCACCGTCCCCTCTCACATCCTCTCCATCCCCAGCAGGAGCGTGGGGATCCTCTGGGGAGCAGAGACGAGCCCCCCAGCGCACGGGCGCGCGCGCTCCCCGCCGCTCGCTCTCGCTTCGCCGCCTCGCCCTGGTTTCCTGCCTCATGAGCAAACTCTAGAGAAGCTGGTTCACAGCTCGCGCACGACCGCAAGAACTAGTGACAAACCCTGATGGCTTCCTGCCATCCCCGGCACCGAGGGTCCCTGCTCCGGGTGCCCCCGGCCACCAGCCACCAGGGACCCGGTGGACAAGGAGACGCTGAGCCCCTTGGCTGGTGGGAAAGCGGGGTCCCGCAGGCTGAGAGACGTGCTGTGAGGGGCTAGTGATGGCCAGGGGTCTGTCACCCGCTGCCTGGGCACTCCCGGCCAACTGAGCCCACCCCGGTCCCCTGTGCTGTCCCCTCTCTGGTGCTCAGTGTGGGTAGGATGGTGGTGCCATGCACCAGCCTCCCCTGACACCAGAGGACCCTACACGGGTTGTGGGACCCATCCTGCATCCCACAGCCCCTGCTTTGGCTGTCACCACCGGCTCACCCCAGATCCCAGCACCCGGAGAGCGGTGGTGACAGTGGCTGAAGCCGAGGGGACGCGTTGTGCCCCTGGCCAGGGCCACCAGCCCTGTGCTGTTTTGGTTTTTTTGGAGACGGCTCTGAGCAGAGCAACCACAACACCATTGTCTTGGCTTTTGCGATCAAACACGAAGCCGCAGGTACCCGCCGGCTGCTCTGCGGAGGCACAGGCAGGAAGCCCAGCTGTGCTGGGGGGGGCTGCGGCGGCCGGGGGGGCACCACAGCACTAGCACTGGGGGCAGCATCCACCCCGGCAGGGACATTTCTCAGGGGCAGCCACGCAGCCCCCGTCCCATCGTGCTCACCAACACCATGGGAGCCCCAGGGGTGGTGGGGAGCTCTGCCAGGCCCTGGGGAGTGCTGCAGCCTCGGGGTGCACATCGGGCTCTTCCCCTGTCCTGCTGCTACCCTGGGAAGAAGCAGCCCCCAAAATCAGCCCTGGGTCACCCCACAGCTTCCCCGGGTCACCCCACCTCTTCCCCAGCGCTGCTTGCCAAAAGCCTTCTGTGAAAGTCACATCCCCAAGCGGCAATTTCGTTTGTGAAGGGTTTGGTGTTAATGGAGGAGGGGAAAAGAAAACAAAACCAGACTCCTCTGGTGAGGACAGCATTGCCAGCCTCCACTGGTACCAGCCCGGGGTCCCTGCTGCGCCCATCTCTGTGCTGCAGGGGGTCCCAGGACGGGGCAGGATGGGGGCACGGGGGCTGCCAAAGCCTGAGCCCAGCCCCTGACACCTCCCGGCTTCAAGCCTCAAAAACAACCCCTCCGTTTGCAGCCGGTTTGGTGACAAGCGTTTCCTGACACGGCGCAGCCCGGGCACCCGCCCGCTGGAGAGGCTGGCAACAAAGTCCTCAGAGCAGAGACACCATCTCCCCGGCACAGCACCATCCTGCCGTGAGATGCCACCCACGCCATGAGCCAGAGCCCCCGGGAACGGCCAGGGAAGGGGCAAAGGCAGCACCATCCCTCCTGCCACCTCCATGTCCCCCACAGCAAAGGGTCAGGACCCACATCTGGAGGCACAGGCAGGTGCTGGCCACCCACCCCCCCCAAAAAAAAAACAAGGAAAAACCACCATCTCTCACCTTCACCTCCTTTTATTCCTCCTCAAAGGGCTGCTCCCCATGTTTTCCACTGTAGCTGACCCCACCATCCTTAGGGACAGGGCACTGGGTGCCCAAAAACACCCTGTGCCCGATGGGGACGGTGGCATTTCCCCCGCCACCATGGCAGGGGTGGCAGCACCTCAGCTCAGCACTGCCCACCCCGAGGGGATCTCAGCCCCAACAGCAGCTCCATAGTCCTGGAGGCATTTTTGGGAGGAATTCTGGAGCCCTACCAGGTCCGGGCACACCCACAGGTGGCCGTGGGGTCCTGCTCAGCAGAGGGAGAACCGTCGGGAGTTGATGTTCATGCGGGTGACGCCGATGTGCTTGAGGGGCATGGAGAGCAGGAAGGCAGCCTTGGGTGGGATGTTGCAGAGCAGGTCGGAGTCTTCCTCGCAGCCCTCCAGGCCGAAGGTAGCGTCATCCAGCATCTCCTTGTGCTGGTGACAGGCCTGCTCCACCTTCAGCCGGTGCAGCTGCGCCCGCAGGCGCATCAGCTGCTGCGCCAGGTGCTGGTCCACAGCCTGCATCTCCTGCTGCGCGGGGAGACGGGCATCAGGGACGGACAGGGACCGGGCACGGGCTCAGCTGGCAGGGCTGCGGGGCTGGGGCTTGGCCAGGGCACAACCCCCCCTGGGGACCACATGTACACATGGCCCTGGGATCAGCACGGAGCCCCCCACCCCGGTCCTGGGGGGTCAGTGCCGGGGTCAGCTCAGGTGCCCCTGGGTTTGCAGCCGCGTGGCTGTTGCTGCCTGTGCCACCACATGAAAGCCACCACAGTGGTCACACACCAACAAAGCCCCCCGCAGCCCTGCCACCAGCAGAGCAGGCAGGAGCGGGTGACAAGTGCAGACCCTGACAGAGCCGTGACCCTCGTGCAGGACACCCATCCCTTGTCTCAGTGGCCAAATGCCTCTGCAGGTGGCCCTGGGATGGCCAGGGGACACGGGCAGAGCTGTGGCACCCCAGAGCCACACATCCCTTCCAAAAATCCACATACACCAGCCGTGCTGGGCAGAGGAGCGAAGCCCTGCAGTGGGAGCACCCTGGCCCCGGCACATCCCGTCGCTGCTGCGTGGGGTCGGGCTCCAAGCACCCCCTCTGCACAGAGGAGCCCCCTGCCCCCCCCCCTGCCTTGGGGCTCAGCCCTTGCCCCCCCCTCCTGCCCCAAATCCCACTGGCACCTACTCACCAGCTCCGTCCTGACCCACTCCAGAGCCTCCTCCATGGAGGCAAAGCCGCAGACGCTGCCATCCCGCTCATCCTCTGGGTTCCCAGAGCTCTGCTCTGCCCCCCACGCCCCCCCGCGGGTCCGGCTCTCCCAGCGCTGTCCCCTCACCCGGGCTTCCCACTCCAGGTAGGAAGGTCTCCTCGTCTGCAGCTTGAGCTTGGCCGTCAGCGCCTTCACGCTGTCCAGGTTCTCCTCCTCCCAGCTGGGCTCCTCTTCACCCAGCTCCTTGAACTTCAGCTGGCCAAGGGGCATGGTGGCACCCCCAAAAATCCTTTGGTGACCTCTCAGCCCTGGAAGCCCCCCTGTGCAAAGGGAGCCCCTGCACCCACAAGGTGAGGAGCACCCTGGCCACAGACACCCACCCACTCCCCACCTGCCCCCGGGTCCCGGCTATTTATTCACCCCCAGAACAAGGAGGGTTGGGGACGCCGAGGACAAATCTAATGGGCGGGAATTTTCCTTATCCAGAGGAGTGTTAAGGAAGGGGCTTTTTTTTGGTTTTATTCGGTGCCAGTTTGGGGTTGGGTTTGTTGTTTTTTTTTTTCATTTTTGGTTGTTGTTGTTTTGGGGTTTTTTTTGTTTCGTTTTGTTTTTTTTTTCCCCTGTTCTTTTTTAGCATTATTGTCTCCAGCTGGGAGGAGACTCCCTGTTCCCGGGGAGGAAGCCTTCACCGGGACGCACTGGCAGGGAGGAGCGGGATGATTTATCCCCGGCCGCCGCCGCCCTCCCGCACCCGCCCGGGGCCGGAGGGAGGGGGGGGAACGACAAAAAAAGCCCAAGGAAGGAAAAAGAAACCGGGGATGGATGGGGGGGGGGGGACACACGACACAGGGGTCGAGGAGCCGGGGGGCAGCTGGGGTCCCGCATCCCGGACGGGCCCTTAAGGTGGAACCGGGGCAGGATCCGGCCGCTGTCCCCCCTTCCCTCCCCAGTCCCCCCCCTCCGCACCGGCGGAGCCGCCCCGGGGCCGGGCCACCTTAAACCCGACATCCGCCGGGCGCCGAGCCCTGCGCCGAGTCCCCCCGCCGGCGTGCGGGGCTGTGCGGGGGCATCGCTTGCACCCCGAGGTCCCTGCTCGCACGCTGAGGTCCCCTGCTTGTGTGCAACATCCCCTGCTTGCACCCCAAGATCCTTCCTTGCACCCCAAACAGTCCCCTGCTTGCATCCCGAGATCCCTGCTTGCACCCCAGGACCCCCTGCTTGCACCCCGAGATCCTTCCTTGCACCCCAAGATCCTTACTTGCACCTCAGCATCCCCTGCTTTCGCCCTGAGGTCCCTGCTTTGCACCCCACAGTCTCCCACTTGCATCCCCAGATCCTTCCTTGTCCCCCAACGACCCCAGCTTGCACCCCGAGATCCCTGCTTGCACCCCAAACCCCTTCCCTACCACCCGGAGGTCCCCGCCTGCCGCCGAGCCCCACAGGTAAGCACAGGGGTGGCTGGGGCAGGCGATGCTGCCACTGCCCACCCTCCTCTTCCTCGCCCCGGGCGCTTGGCAGCAGCTCCTGCTCCATCCCCCAAGGCCCAGGGGTGGCCAGGGGTGCAGGCAGAGCCCCTGGGAGCCGGGGTCAAGGCTGGTGCCGGGGGTCCGGCAGCGGTTGACGCAGCACCGTCCAGCCCCAGCACGGGCAGGAAAGGACACGGAGCTGCTCCCTGAGAGGCAGCAGTTCCATTTTCACCAGCCACCAAAAATAATCCCCCGCCTTGCAGCTCAGCCAGCACCAGGCTCAGGGTCTGAGCACCCCCGGGGAGCCCAGAACCAGCTCAACCCCCCCGCCCCGTGCCTCAGTTTCCCCATCTGCGATAACAGCATTGCCGGGGGAGGAAATAAGTCACTCTGCCCCGTGTTTTGCAGGGAGGAAGCCCCATATGCTATAGGTGACAATGTAAACACGAAGAAGGGGGAGGTTGAGGCCATCGGGACGTGACGCAGAGGGAAGAGGGGGTTTCCAGGCTGGGCCCTGCTGCTGCTGCAGGATTTCCCCTTTCTCCCTCCAGCCCCGAGGAAGCCGCCGGCAGCGGGTCCCTGTGCTGGGGTTCGGCAGCAGCCGGCACCCGCCATGGAGTTCTCCGAGCTGATCAAGACGGCGACGGTGGAGAACGTGCTGCTGTCGTGCCCGGGGCTGCCGGCGGTGAAGGGCACCCTCTGCATCACCAGCCACCACTTGCTCCTCTCCTCCTGCCCCGGGGGGGACGCCCAGCCCGGCACCGTGGAGCTCTGGCTGCTCATCCGCAACGTGGACGCCGTGGAGAAGAGGTGGGTCTCTCTCCCCACGCTCCCTCCCAGCGCTGTCACCCCTGCTTTTGCTGGGGGACATTCCCCACTGCTCTCCCGGTGTCCCGTGGCAGAGCACGGCCACCCCACGGTACTGCCCACCCGAGCCTCCTCCCTCCTCTTCCTCACACCCCACGCCGGGGATGCTCACGGCACCGGCCATTGACCTCCTCTTCTCCTCCCTGCCTCAGAGTGCAGAATTTAGGCTGGTACCAGCCCCCCCGGACTAACGACTCCCCACGGGACACCAGGTTTGGCTTTTAAGACTCTCTTGGCTCTGTTAACCCCCCCAGCAGCCCACCGGGCCCTGGCCAGGGTAGGGAGATGGTGGAGATACCAGCTTCGGACATGCCACTGGAGACCCAGCATTTTGGCACCCACACTGGCACAGCCCTCCTGTTTCGCCCCTCAGGGCTCTCCCAGGGGGAGAAGGCAGCTCTGTCTGTGTGTCTGTCTGTGTCCACGGACCTACAGCCAGCCCTGACCCCCCCACCTCTCCTGCCTCTCCCCCCAGGGTCGCTGGCTCCTCCGGCACCATCACGCTGCGGTGCAAAGACCTGAAGGTGCTGCAGCTGGAGATCCCGGGCATGGAGGAGTGTCTCAACATCGCCAGCTCCATCGAGGTGAGCTCCCCGGGAGGCCGAGCCGTGCCGGGCTGCAAAGGGTGGGCAGGAGAAAAGCAGCTGCCTGCAGTGTTTGCTCTGGGTCTGTCATTAACGTGGGTAAACACGCAGCTCCCAGTACAGCCTTGGCACCGGGTGCCTGTGGAGCTGGTGGTGCCAGCTCTGACCTGCCCTGTCCTTGGGACATGGCCATGCCCCTCTGCTCTGCCCTGGGGAGGCCCCATCTGGAGCACTGGGACCAGTTCTGGGCTCCCCAGCCCATCACCAGCTCCACCTTTGCTCCCGCTCCAGGCCCTCTCCTCGGTGGACTCCGTCATGATGATGTACCCGTTCTTCTACAGACCCCAGAGCCTGAGGCTCGAGGAAGGATGGCACCTCTTCCCCCTCGAGCAGTACTTCCAGCAGATCGCCTCACAGGTCAGCCTGGAAGGGAGAGACCCTGCTGGGCTTGGTGGGGGGGAGAAATGACCCCCTGACCCATGCTGGGCTGCCCACTGGGGGTCCCGAGGCAGCCCCCCCGACTCTGTGTCTCCTCCAGACGAGCCAGTGGCGGCTGAGCGACGTGAACCAGGATTTCACCACCTGCCCCACGTACCCTCCCACTGTCATCGTGCCGGCGGCCGTGGGCGACGAGGCCTTGCGGAAGGCGGCCCGTTTCCGGCAGGGCGGGCGATTCCCCGTCCTCAGCTATTACCACCCCCGGAACGGCACCGTGAGTCCCACATCCCCATCCCACCGCCAAACCTCCGGTGGAGGCAGCTCCAAGTCCCCCCCATCCTACGGGGTCCCCCCGGCCCTCGCTGCCCGCCATCCCTCTCCCCGCAGGCGATGCTCCGCAGCAGCCAGCCGCTGACGGGCCCCAACCGAAAGCGCTGCCGCGAGGACGAGATGCTGCTGGGGACGGTGCTGGACGAAGGGGAACGGGGCTTTGTCATCGACACGCGGTCAGCCCAGGCGGCCAAGCAGGCTCGGATGACCGGGGGGGGCACAGAGCCCAAGTCCTCCTACCCGCAGTGGAAGAGGCTGCACCGGCCCCTGGAACGGTGAGGAGCTGCGCCGAGGCCTGGCGCTCTCGTGACATGGGTGACCAAACTGTCCTGCCAATGGCATGGGGACTCTAACACCCCCCCCCCCAAAAAAAAGCCTCACCGAGCCCCTGATGCCACTTTCCTCCCCTCCTAGAGGCCGCCCGCTGCAGGAGAGCTTCATTAAGCTGGTGGAAGCCTGTAACGACACCTCCATCAACATGGACCGGTGGCTGAGCCGGCTGGAGAGCAGCCGCTGGCTGAGCCACGTCAAGGCAGCGCTGAGCACGGCCTGCCTGGCCGCACAGTGCTTGGACAGGTAACGGGGGGAACCCCATTTTTCCCCTTGCAAGACTCTCCGTGTGGCACAAACCTCGGGTGCCACCCCGGGCTCGCTGGTATTGTCCCCACTTGCCCGCAGGGAGGAGGCCAACGTGCTGGTGCACGGGGCGGAGGGGACAGACACCACGCTGCTGGTGACGGCGCTGGCTCAGGTCATCCTGGACCCCTCCTGCCGCACGCTGGGGGGCTTCCAGGGGCTGCTGGAGCGGGAGTGGATCCAGGTGAGAGCCGTGGTCCCGAGGGGGCTGAGGACCCGAGCCCAGTTGGGCTCCCCCTGCTCCCTTTCACCCCTGTTCCTCCCCCCCGGGGGTCCCGCAGGCCGGCCACCCCTTCCACCTCCGCTGCTCCCGCTCTGCCTACTCCCACGCCCGGCTGAAGCAGGAGGCGCCGCTTTTCCTCCTCTTCCTCGACTGCGTGTGGCAGCTGAGCCGCCAGTTCCCCTTCTCCCTGGAGTTCAGCGAGCGCCTCCTCCTCACCCTCTTCGACAACGCCTACGCCTCCGCCTACGGCACCTTCCTCTGCAACAACGAGAAAGAGAGGCGAGTGGGGGCCGAGGGTGGGGGGCACCCAGAATCACATGGGGTTGGAAGGGACCTCTGGAGATCATCCAGTCCACCCCCCTGCCAGAGCAGGGCCACCCAGAGCAGGTCCCACAGGAACGTGTCCAGGTGGGGTCTGAATGTCTCCAGAGAAGGAGACTCCACCACCTCCCTGGGCAGCCTCTGCCAGGGCTCTGCCACCCTCACAGGAAAGAAGTTCCTCCTCATGTTTAGGTGGAACTTCTTATCTTCAAGTTTGTGCCCGTTCCCTCTTGTCCTGTCCCTGGGCACCACTGAGAAAAGACCAGCCCCATCCTCCTGACACCCACCCTTTCAGTATTTATAGGTGTTGATCAGATCCCCCTCACGCGTCTCCAGACTGAACAGACCCAAGTCCCTCAGCCTCTCCTCATAAGGGAGATGCTCCAGTCCCTCATCATCTTTGTAGTCTCTGCTGTCCCACCTCCAGCAGTTCCCTGTCTTTCTGGAACTGGGGAGCCCAGAACTGGTCCCAGTGCTCCAGATGGGGCCTCCCCAGGGCAGAGCAGAGGGGGATGATGACCTCTCTCAACCTGCTGGCCACACGCTTCCTGATGCCCCCCAGGATGCCATTGGCCTTCTTGGCCCTGCCTTCACGCTGCTGGACTGGGGGCAGAGCCAAACCCTCCAGGTCACAGCTTGGGGCAAATGTGGCCCCTGGCAGGGAGTGAAACCCCCCTCCTCTCTCCCATAGGTGCCTGTGTAAAGTGAAGGAGACCACACACTCCCTCTGGGCCTGGCTGAACGAGCCCAGCGAGAAGAAGAAGTACCTGAACCCCCTCTACTCACACAACGCCCTGGTCATCTGGCCCTCCGTGGAGCCCCAGAGCATCCAGCTCTGGCAGGGTAAGCTGGGTCCAGGGCTCCCAAAGCCCAGCTCCAGCTCCCAAGTTGGGATGGGGTGAGGGAAACAGGGAAAGCTGCTCTGCTTTCCCCCCACCTCCAGGCAGGGCTTACGGCACAGCCCCCTTTCTCTCCTAGGTTTATTCTTCCGCTGGATCCGTTCATCCCAGCACCTGGATGAAGCCTGGGCAGAGATCCAGCAGTTAGTGGAGGGTGACGATGCCCCCATCAAGGAGAACACAGGGAAGAGGCTGAGCCAGTCCCTTTCCGACCTCATCCCAGCACCTGGATGAAGCCTGGGCAGAGATCCAGCGGTTAGTGGAGGGTGACGATGCCCCCATCAAAGAGAACACAGCGAAGAGGCTGAGCCAGTCCCTCTCCGACCCCGCTGCCAGGACAGAGAATGAAAGATGAAGGGGGAGAGTGGAAAAACTCAGTCCCTGCCGGTGACGCTGCAGCTTCCAGTGGGAAGTGCTGTGCAGGACACAGGTCCCATGGAGCTTGGGGGACACTGGGAAGTGGGGGGACACAGACTCTATTCTGGGGAGGAGAATGGGCAGGAGCCCCTGCTTGCGAGGTTCCCTCGCAAGCAGGGGCCTCCTGCCCATTCTCCTCCCCAGGAGGATTTTAAGCCTCACCCAGTCGCTCCGAGTTGGGAGCCAGCTCAGGAAATCTACCCTTGAACCCAGTTTCGAGGAAGGAAAGGGATAGAAACCACCCCCTCCAGACAGACAGACAGACAGCCCACGGCCTGGGAGGAGGAGGATTTGCAACACGAGGCGTCCTCGGGCAGGAAATAACTGTTCCGTGAGGAAAGTTGGCTCAGGGTCAGCCCAGCAAATAAACAAAAAAGCGCCAGAAATGGGCGCGTGCGTGTCAGCAGGGAAAACAATGACCGGCCGCGGCGCTTCCAGCCTCTTCACACTTCAGGGCTGGACACACTCCCAAACTGCAGATCCTCCCCAGGACAGAGTTAACCCGGGGTGGGCAGAAGCCCTGAGAGTCACAACCCCCCTCTCTTGCCCGCAGAGGGGACAAGGCACTGCCCTCAGAGCTGAGGAAACCAAATCGTTTGGGTTAATTTCGTTCCAAACTGAAAAAAAAACAAACAAACCCCACAGAGGTGTTTTTCCTCATGTTTATAAAAGTTGTCTATTTATTTCCTGATGATTTTTTTTTTTCAGCCCTGATGTATAAATATACCCAGCAGGGCAGGAAGCAAGTAGCCCCCTGGGGCGGGCAGGTGGCCAACCCAAATCCCTCCCTCGCCCTCACCACCTCCTGTGAAAGCCCGTCCTGCCCTTTGGAGGGGTTTCTGGTTGCCCACCTTCACACCCCCCCTGCCCAAATTTTGCTGTTTCCTGCTGTCCCCCCTGGAGCAGACTAATGTCAGGCCTCACAAGAGCTCTGCGCAGGAGACGATGGGGTGGAAGAGGAGAGGAAATCCTCCTTTAAGCTTCAAATTCGAACTCAAAATACTGGGGATCGAAGTAGTGGATGCGGACGTAGCCATCCTCACCCCCACTGCTGTAACTGCACGGGAGGAAAGACAAGAGAAAGTCACCAATGGTGTCAGGAGCTCACAGCATCTTAGATTTATACCCAACCCCCTCCAGAAACTACTAAAGGAGTCAAAAGAAACACCCAAAAACAAGCATCAGTGACGCAGCCAAAATGTGGGACAGGGAGTAGAAGTGAACCCCCAGCGAGCACGGGGGGAGGCAGCAGGGCTGGAACGGGAGGATTAGGGAAGGTGCTGGCTCCTTTCCTGCTGCAGAGCTCCCCTGAGCCCGTATCCTGAGCAAAAGGGGGGCTTGGCTTGTCTGGGGGAGGCTGAGACCCCCCCAGAGATCCTCACCTCTTCCCGTCGGGGTGAAAAGCAACGCTATTTATCGGACCGAAGTGACCCTTCACTCTGCCAAACTCTTCTTCAAAAGCCAAGTGGAAGAACCTGGGAGAAGGAAGATTTAAATTATCACAAGAAGTTGTGTGTCCCTAACCGGGCTCAATCAGGGTTTCCTCAAAAAAGCTCTGCCAGTTTAATGACTCCCCCAACACCACCAGGAGAAAGATGCTCTGGGAACATCACCCCCTGGGCTGTGAGGAATCCTCCAGGTGAGGACTCGACCTTGCCAGAGGAAAAGGACCAACCTGGCCTCAAATTTGCCAATCCTGGTGGAGGTCGTGGTCACATCCATGGCCTCTTGCCCACCACCAAGCACCACCTGCAAAGGAGAGAAGCCACAACACTTCAAAGAGCTGCTTCCACCCCGCTCAGCCAGGAGAGGAGAGAGCCGAGCCTTGGGGAAGCCTTCTGCTGACCCAGCAGATCCCAAAAACTCAGGAGCAGGCCTGACTCCAGCCCCAGGGAAGTTTCCACCTCCCAGACACACTCATTTGGAGATCAGAGGACACGAGGCCATGTTCCCTGCACCAAACTGCAAAAAAGTTCCCCAGGCCCCATCCCACAGTCACGTTTTTTTAGCTGGCCTGGTGACACTCCACCTTCCCAGCCACCTGGGACAAGGCAGGAGTCGCAGCAAGACCGTTACAATGAACGAGCTCATTCTTACGTGATCAAAAATGGGGGAGAGCGCGGCAGAGTTCACCGGTCGCTCTGTCCGGAACGTCTTCAAATGCTCGAGTGTCGTGCAATCAAAAAGCTAGGAGAAAAAAGTGAGAGAGTTATCCCACAAGAAGGCTGGCAGCCCAGTTAACTCACACAAATCTGGCTGCTGGTCCTCACCTGGCCCAATGTTAGCTCCACAGTCACTCTTGGGCACCCAAATCCCAAAAACTTTTCCCCACAATCCCAAAATAAGGTAAATCTCACCTCTATCACCTTCCAGAGGTAGCAAATTGCAGCCCCAATTTTGGCAAAATTGTTTCCAACGCCTGGCTCTTAATTTAGTGTGGTGGCACCTCCCCTTTCTCACTGAATTTTCCCCACCAAGCTTTGACTTTACACTTACTCAAACTCCTGAGGAGGAAACCTCTGCGACAGCCACAGCCCTGAGCGAGCAAATACCAACAGTCCATGGCATTTCCCCTGGGAAGCCTCACCTTGGCTGTGTTGTCCTTGGAGGCAGTGATGAACATGGTCATGTCCCTGGAGGTCTGGATATCGTTGATTTGCTTGGTGTGCTCCTTGATGTTTGAAAGCTGCTCCCCTGACTGAAGGGGAAAGAAGGCAGTTTCAAGGTGCTGGCGAGTGAAAGGAGCGTACACACGACTTCTCCATTAAAAACAATTCAGGAGATGCCGTTGTCAGCAGTGGAGCAGACATTGGTACATCAGCCTCGCTTATTTTAAAATATCCTTTCATGAAGCTGCTGGTTTGAGCCAAAAAGCCCCCATTCTGTCCCACGACTACAACAGGAACGCTGCAATATCCTCCCCTGGGCGCTGCTGCCCGAGGGAGATGCCTTTCCTTATCAGACTGACCTTGGCACTGAACTGGTTCAACTCTCCGCTCTCGTGTCCGGCGATGATGAACTCTCCCAGAGGGCCCCACACAGCACTAGTGATTTTAGAATCACTGCAGGGGATTTTCATGTAAGGCTCGTTGTTTTCTGCAGGAAGGAAGGAGACAGACAGACAGACACAGTGGCACCGGCTCCAGCGATCAACATTTCCCCTTATTCCCTGGTGCAGGCACTGGCCCGGATTCCTCACCGATCTGGCTGGGGTCCCGGAGGTCAAAGAAGCTCACGAAACACTGATAGCCCATCTGCTTGTCGGTGGAAAACATGATGATGTTTCCTCCGAAGTCAAAGCCGCACGTCCTCACCGCTGAGCTGGTCTTCACCAGGGCGAGCTGCTTTCCTGGACACGGAGCAGAAACCGTCACTCCACGGGTGATTTATTGCAAGTTTAATGAAAACGAGCAGCCCAACGGCCGGGTCAGAGGGAGGATGAGAGCATCGGGCGTAGCTGACAAGCAGGTTTGGTGACCTGCAAGCTCTAACTGCACGCTTTGACTATTTGGGCAGTTAAAGTGAGTAAATTCAGTAAATACTCACTAGAATATTTATAAACACAAACCCTCCCCTCCCGCAGTCTGAGTTCAGGTTCAGGCCTCTCTCAGAGGGGCGACCAAGCACACGCCACGCTGCCACCACACGCTCCAAGAGGTGTCAGGTCAAACCAGAGCTGCCTCAAAGGCAGGGAGGTGGGAAGAGCAGAGCCTTACTGTCTGGAATTGTAGTGTAGTATTGTCAGGAAGTGTAATGATAGGACAAGGGGTAAGGGTTTTAAATCAGAAATTTAGATTTGATATTAGGAAGAAATTCTTTGGTGTGAGGGTGGTGAGAGCCTGGCCCAGGTTGCCCAGAGAAGCTGTGGCTGCACCATCCCTGTAAGGTTCAAGGCCAGGTTGGAGAGGGCTTGGAGCAACCTGGTCCCCTGCCCAGGGCAGGGGGTTGGAACCGGATGATCTTTAAGGTCCCTTCTAACCCAAACCATTCTATGATTCTTACCCGTTTCACAGTCCCAGAGACGGCAGCTGTTATCCGCAGAGCCAGTGAGCACGTGTCGTGTGTCCCCTAGGTCACCAGTTAGGGAATATCAGCGCCTTCTCAGCCCCAAAAAGCTAATCTCTAAATTCCCAGAGAATGTTTATACACAAGATTAAAAAGCCATTTTACACAGAGATTGGACAAATTCCATTCCAGGACCAGCAATACTCCAGAACAGACACGGTGTCCGAGTGCTCCCATTACAAACCCCACAACTTTCCTCTCCAAACATTAAAGCAAAAAGGTTCGAGGTCTTATATTAACACAACTTTTGCACGATTTGTCTCTGCTACCTGCTGCCCACACTGAAGATGGAAGACCTTGTGCCACTTGGACACCTTCCTTGAGGTCCCAGGGCCAGCACAGCAAAAGCAATGTCACACAAACGAGAGCAGACGGGGCACATGCTATTCCAAACAACAGCCCAGGAAGAAAATCACCAAAAAAAGAGACGGAATAAGGGAAAAACAGCAGAAGAGTTAGACAAAATACCCTCTTCAAGAGGAACCGGCGCAGCAGGAGGGAGTTAATCACGATAAGGAAAACACAGGGGACAGACAAACTGGTTTCTGTGCTCAAAGGATACAGTCTGCATCCACGCACCAGACGGCTCCCGTGTGGCCGTTGTAGGTGCCGAGCCTCTCTCCGTTCACCGAATACCACACATTGACAATCTGGGAGAAAAAAAAAACCAACCCGGCCCCCGACGCGTTAATTAATGGGACTCGATTATGGCGGGGGGGGGGAGTCGGTTTTCCCCACGGGCACTCACGGGATCCTTGGCTACGGTGAAAAGCAGGTCTCCCTCCCGGTTGTACTTGATCTGCGTGATGGAGCGCTCATGGCCCTGCAGCAGGATGGGCTTCTGCGAGGGGGGATACACCATTTAATGCCTCAGGCGAGACGCGGCCTCAGCCCCCGTGCCGGGGCTCCAGGGACACGGGGGGGGCGGGGGGCGGCATCTTGCCGCCCCCCGGCCTCCCCCGTGTCCCTGGAGCCCCGGCACGGGGGCTGAGGCCGCGTCTCGCCTGAGGCATTAAATGGTGTATCCCCCCTCGCAGAAGCCCATCCTGCTGCAGGGCCATGAGCGCTCCATCACGCAGATCAAGTACAACCGGGAGGGAGACCTGCTTTTCACCGTAGCCAAGGATCCCGTGAGTGCCCGTGGGGAAAACCGACTCCCCCCCCCCGCCATAATCGAGTCCCATTAATTAACGCGTCGGG